TAAAATTTTTTGAATTTTAGTTATATTTTTAATTAAAATTACATGACAACTTGAAATCACGTCCAAAATTTTTGAATTTTTATGGAGATGCTCAAAATAAATTCTAAACAAACCCTAAAATTTTCAAGTCATTCTATGTTCAATTGAATTTCCAAGGAATTATTGATATTATTTAATGATTTAGTTATTTTAAATTTATTAAAAGTTAATGAAATATTTTTTTGTATTTATTATTTTCTTTTTGTTAATTTATTTTAATGGTGAAAATTTGGTTCAAATTAGAGTTAAAATAAGTGAGTTACGAGGATTTTAACTTTGTAGGGTATATTTATAATTTTGGCATTTTTTCATGTTCCAATTTATTTCATAGTGAAATAACGTTATTTCATGTTCTCTTTTTGTTAAGAAATGATTTTGATCAGTTGGGTAAGATTTGAATTCTAATTGTTTAATTTATTAGATTTAATAGTGAAGAAGGAAAAAATTACAAATATACCTATCTTTACTTTTTCACACATGAATTTTATTGAAATTTCAATGTTGTCTTCTTCGTTGATCATTTTATATTAGATTTTTTAATATTTAGAGATTTTGAATATTCAATTTGATGTTCGTCCGTTAAGGATAGATTTGCAATTTTGAAATTTTCAGACTTTCTTCATACAAATTCAAATTGGTAATTATCTCAAATTTTATTATGATTTCAAAACAGTGAATTCTCTTAACTTGATATTGGTTGTGTTTGATTATAGGATTTTAAAGGTGAATAAAAATATACATGTAATTTTTGCAAGTTAGAAATATACCTTACCATGAAGATTTTCGTTTCAAATTGTATTTCTTTTAATCATTTGATTACAATTAATCACTTATACAGAATTTTATTATTTTAAATTGTATTTTACTATTTTTATTAGAATTTGAAAATATAAAGATATTAATGTTAATGATAAATTGCAAATATAAATGGATTATATTGCCTTAAGTTGTTAATTTCATTGTTTCAGTGGGTTTCCTTTTTATTACTGATTTACTTTTCTGATTTTCTTTATTTAGGTTTTCTGTTTTTTATTTTCTTTATTTATTTATATTTTTTTAATTATTTTCTTGTTATTTTCATTATAAAATTTAAATGAAATGTATTTTTGTTTTCTATTTTCAAGAAATTTACAAGATTTTATTTGTGTTTAGCACTACTCTTGTGAAAATTTCATTCCATTTGGATTTTTATTTTATTTTTTTATAAATTTTTCTCTTTAACTATTTTTTATTTAATTATTAAAATTATATTCATCAATTTTTTTAACATTGTTCTTGATTTCTTGATCTGTGGTATTATTTTATTTTAGTTTGATATTTAATGATTTTTGTAATTTTTGTTATTATTACATGATTTATTCAAATGATTTAAATGGAAAATCCAATTCATTCGTTACTTCAGCTTTGCGGGCGCCGCCTCAGCTCTGCGGGTCTACCTCCTTCCATGTGTCTTCTTACGGTTGGCAACATAAACACGTGGCGCCATTTCATTGGTTATCTAATGCACGAAGAGGCCCTCTATGGTTCGTTCGGCCTCATCTCGGTTGTCTAAAATAAATAGAAAACAATGGATGACATCCGTTAATCGTCCCAAATGGGATGATGAACCAGAGCTGCCTCTTCAAATTCGTGCAATGGGAAAGCTCAAGTGAAGGTGGCTAGTTCAGGTAATGGAAAACAATAAAGGGAAAGCAATGGAAAAGCTCGGGATTGATTGAGAAGATGGCTAAGACTTAGGCAGTGGGTTGAAATAGTTTTAGAGTGGAGTGAATGAATTACAACAAGCCTCAAGGAGGAGCATGGGGGTATTTGCAGCTTTCAATTTGGCTTGAAATGGGCTCAATTTGGGTTGGCAATAGGCTAGGCACCAATAAGTGTTGCCAAGATGATCTGGTGTGGTCAATTTTGCTTTGTGGTCAATGGGGGATTGCCATTCGGGCATGGAAATTCGGGTAGCTTCCAAGGGAAGGAAGGGAGGAGCATTAGGCTTGCTGAGCTTGAGTTGGTGGTTTAGATAGTTAAGGATAATCAATTAGGAATTGCCAAGGGATGTCAGCTAAGTGGAGGAATGACAAGTAGAGGGGGGCTCGGGTTTTGGCTTGATTTGGCCATGGAAGAAGTGGACTGAGCTTGACTTGGATTAGCTTGTATTTGCTTGGTTAGGCTTGGATGTGGTGAGCCAAAGATGAACCATGGAATGACCGAAAGTGAGCATAAAGTGAATTTAATTGAGCTTAAATGAGTTTGAGGTTTGTTTGGTTATGAGTGAGTTTGGCTTGGATTGAGCTCAAGTGAAAATGGCTTAGTTAGGGGGTTGAACCGATAGGAGAATGCCACATAGAGAGGTTTGTTGTGCGGAGGTTGTGAGGTCTTGAAGATTGGTTTAGGGTAGCTTTAGGTAAGGCCATGGGAGGCTCAAGTATTGAGTGGTTTTGGAGTCAGATTTGGAGTTCATTGGAAAAGAAGATTTGTGTAGGTTTGGATAATGAGCTAGTGTTAATTTTGGGTTAAATTAGGGCTTAGAATGGGTTGAGCTGAGGTTTAGATGAATTAAATTTTAGGCAAATTTATTAGTGTTTAATAATGAATTAATATATTGGGTTACTTTGTTTTGAATTGTTTATGTTTTTTTATTTTTTTATTGAAATGTAAAATTGACTTTATTTGAATTTAATTTATTTATGATTCCATTTTTTATTGTTTTTTGTTAATATTTAAAATTTAGATTTGAATTTAGTTATTAGGTTCATTTTTACTTTAATTGATTTTAATTTCAATTATGTTCAATTTGCTTTTAGAAATTAATTTTATCATGTTTTAAAATGAATCTAAATTTTGATGGATTTGATTTCTTGAGTTTGAATTTGAATTTAATTAGTTTGGTTTTAATTTGGTTATTTTACACACACACACACACACACATATAATGTTTTTTTATTTTTTATTTTTTATTTATCATTTTCAACTTTATTTAAGATAAACTCAGTCACGATTAAAGGTGAATGCTAAACCAAATGTTTATAAGGTCGAAGGGCAGCTTGAACGTATTTCTAAGCCTATGAGAATTAAACTTAAGTTTCAATAACCTAACTTCCATCAACTCAACAAAAGTGTCAAGGATTAAAATCAAGTACATGAAACTAAAATGAGTGAAGATTTGATTTGAATTTCTAATTTAAGGTATCATTCATCCAGTAGTCCTTTATGAAAGCCTGTAAGGAAAACTTAAGGTTAGATCCTAAGTTCTAGAGTGAGGGAGAGAGATGGACCTAATATAAAATGACGTCAACAAAAACCTATTAGTGTTTTGGTTAATAAAAGTATTGCTTTGTTATGCGCTTTGCACATTGAAGTTGCTTTGTTATGCGCTTTGCACATTGAAGTAAAAATAAAGCCTTGTGCATCGCATTGCTTTTTTGTACATTGATAACACTGGTATGTTGAAATACCCTCCCCATTATTGATAACATGCCCAAGAAATTTCACTTTTTAACCATAACTCATATTTAGAAAGTTTGGCATATAATTTATTCTCTTTTAGAATTTGTATAACTGTGTGAAGATGATTTGAATGGTTGCTTTTATCCTTTGAATAGACTCGCATATTTTCTATGAGTACTATTACAAATATATTAAAAATAGGCAAAAGATCCTATTCATTAAATGCCTAAAAAATGTTAGATCATTTGTCAATACAAATGACGTCACCACAAATTTGTAGTGCCTATACATTGATTTGAATGTTGACATTGATATGACTTGCTCTCAGATATACAAATGATAACTTGATCTTAAATCAATCTGAGAGAAAATTAAAGCTCCCTTGAGCTGATAAGAAAGATAGTAGATTTTCAGCAGTAGATATTTATTCTTAAATTTATGTTTATTCAATTCCGTGTAATCAATACACATTCTTAAGCTTTCATTTGTTTTCTTACAAATAATACTAGAGTTTTCCATGGTGATGTATTGGACCTGATAAATTCATTATCCAACAACAGTTCCTATAGCTGACTTTAGAATTCTTATAATTTCTTAACTGTTATTTGATACGGTGCTTTAGATACTGGTTAAAAACTTACAATAAATAAATAGTGAAATCTATATATATCACTACTAGTTTAGGTAAATTTAGAAAGATAAATTGAAAATTTTCTTACCACTTCTATCATTCAGTTGTTTCACATCTATTGTCATATCTCTCTCCTAAGCAAGAATACATTGATTGCCAATGTTTAGTAACATGTAAGCCTTTAGAGTTAGTTCACAGATGTCATTTTTGATGTCTGATGATGAAAATATATTTCCATTTTTTGTATTGTACTGTATTATTTTCCCAAGAGCAACGCCACCACAATCTGTTCATGAATCGAATATACGTAGTCTAGTAGTCTATCTATATGGATGAATTGCATGGAATTTCAGAAACCCAAGGAGGAAGAAAGAGGGGTGGCTAACCCTGTTGGACTGGATTAAACTACCCCATTTGGGGTGTCAAAGGCCCAAACACATGAGCTTCTGTGATTTTGGTGTTGTTCGAGTTGTCGGGATGAGCTGATCATTTAGATTATCAATTTACAAGATTCAAAGTCCACCATTTGGTTTATGAAATAATTAGGAAACTTTGCAATTTGATTTATGAAGCTCTGTGATACAGAACTTGCACCAAGTTTTGTGATGATTGGAAGGCAATTTTGCTTTCCTAAATGTTTCCAGAAACAGACTTTTCTGAATTGAGCATGTTTGTTTGGTGCCTATCATTTCAAGCAATAACTTAAGTTTGTGATTTAACTTTTTTTCCACCTTAATTGTTCTCTTTCTTCTAAAGATTTCTCCTTTTGAAATTTTCCTTGCTAGGACTGTATGTTGACAAGTATATTTATGTTAAACGTGCTTAATTACATATCTTCCAATTGTTCTGATATAGATTACTGTATGGTTTACCGGCATTTTCTTTACAGGTCCTGTAGCTGAGGATATGTTTCATTGGCAAGCAACAATAATGGGTCCACCTGACAGCCCGTATGCTGGAGGAGTGTTTCTAGTTACCATCCATTTCCCCCCAGATTATCCCTTTAAACCACCAAAGGTATGCCTTAAATTTGTTTCTTGGAGTAAAGATCTATATATAGTTTCCATTACTTTTCCTGTTTGTATGTTTCATAGTATGTTCTGCAATGCAATAAGCCGTTGATTTGAAGGCACGTAATCTCTATTTTTTTATTTCCTTGTTCATTTTATATTTTTTCTGGGATCAAAGTTTGATCAATTATATTTATATCTGGGATCAAAGTTTGATCAATTATATTTATACCAATAACACTGTCAAATTATATTTGCAAAGGGCAAAGCAAATGCATTTTCATTGTATGTTTCCTTTTTCTTTTTTTCTTTTTTTATTTATTTCTTTTTTGACTGACAGTGTTAATGGTTTTTACTCATATCCTTTGCAATCTAGTTTACCAATGGGTATGTAAATTTCAACTCATTGTTTAACTTTCTTGTTTCAAAAGCTATATTTTTCATTTTTAAAAGAAGGTTATAAATTTTCATTTGAATTGATTTACCATCATATTTTGATTTTCATCATAAGTAATGAATAGCTTTTAAAAATCATAAATTGTGTTTTTGCAGAATTTTCTCGGTGTTGCATTATTCTTGGTATCTCTTAGTAAATTTGAATTTGTCAACCCTAAAATGTCTTATATTGAATTTAAAACTAAGCATTAGGTTAAAAAAGGGAAAAGCATTAGGCTGCATCATGATGTCTTTAATATATAGAATATAACATCTAAATCAATTATTAACAAAATAGAAGAAACACTAAAAAAAAAAAAATGATTCTATAACATTTCAACATAATTAAACGTGGTTAAAATTAACATTCTTATAATCGATAGTAGGTATAATTATGGAAATTTTTAGATTGGTTTGTTAAAATAGAAGAATTCATTGCAAGCTCATAATGTCTAATTCACAACTAAGCTTGCTAAAAAAATTTTAGGACTAGTTCAATTTTTTTAGGGAAGTGTTGGAGTTAATGCTAAATTTGCATGGATTAATATGAATCATAAACTTTTAAAAACATTTATGGTAATTTATTTATTGTCGGAATCGATTGCATTATCAATTTCAGAATTTTAAATAAAGTGAATATTTTGTGTTTAAATATTTTTCTAGGTTTAAATTTCTTATAGCCAACTATTATTTTCCTGCAAATTAATGTGTTAACTTTATGTATTTCATGAAAGGTCTTAGGCAATAACTTTAGTATGAATTAAGTTATAATTTTTCATTACAATAAATAAAGATTTATATTTAGCTTTAGTGCTTAAGAGATATTATAATTAATCGTCGATGATGACTATTTCATCTTCAATTTTTATTTATATAAAATTATTGTAATCTCACACAAATTTTGTAAAATTTATATAACGCCATAATCAATTACTGACAAACGTGATCCCATTGAAGAAGCTATAGTTCATAAATATCTAATAGTTTAAATTATAATATGATTTTTCATTTGATTTGTTAAATTTAAATACACTTTAAGTTTTACATGAGAATATATTTATGAAGCTAAATCACGAATATAATTCTAATTTGATTTTAAAAATGATGAAATCATACATGTTGAGATTGGTAAATAAATTAAGATTTTTTATAATATAATTCTTGTTGAAAAATTTAATGAGATGATCTCTTTGTCTACAATTCAAACTTATATTAATTTTTTTTTATTGTTTATCGGCTTACATGCTTATAAAGGAGCCTTATTAGAAAATAACTTATTCATGATAAATTCTTTTAGAAAAATTTTTTCTTTGATTTTTCATCTTTTGGGTTTAATTCAAAGGCAAATCATATGCATTTTAGCATTACATTCATCATCAAGTAGTAGATGCTATAATGCATAAACACTCCTAATTAAGGAGTTGTGCAATGTTAGACACATATCAGATAAGGACACTGCTCCGACAAGAGTGTTTAATTTGAATAATATTTAGAAAGGACGTGTGTTACAGATGTTTTAATTGATGAATTAAATTTTTTTTAACAATATTCTTAATATTAAAATTTTAAAAAATGTAAAATTTATGACAGATTTATGTATATGCTACTCAATTCTTATGTATTTATGTTTATAACACTTTAATTTTTACATATACTTTCATGTTTTTAAAACTAAAAGTAGTGGTGTATTAGATATTTAGATGTGATATGAAAAAATTCAATGGACTAAATCTTGATGTAATATATGATAATATATATTTTCTTTTTTATGTCATAAACTAAACAATTATCTATGGGCATCTTTATTTTTGAAAGTTAATGTTATTAATTTTTTTATTTTCTTTGTTATACTAATCTTATATATATGTATATATGTATGTATGTATGTATATAGCTATATATCTATCTGTGTATGTATCTACAGACATAAATTCATCTATATCTATCGAGCCTTGCGTTGCTGGGCGCGAAGGAATGACGAGCGCAGGCAGGCGGGCGGGCGAGCTAAGGCCCGCGAAACTCTGGCGAGCGGCGCTGCGGGACGATGCAGCGTCGCGTCTTCTCTGCCGCAGACGACGCCACCAAAGCACGGACGCGTGAGAGTGGAGATCGGGGCAGCAGGGACGATCGAAACGAAACGCTAGGGTTCTCCATGGGGAGGAACCCTAGCAGAGCGGCGGGACGACATGGGTATATATATGAATCTAAATATATATATATATATTAATAATTTTTATTATAATTACATGTTCGACATGCGTCTGTGTAATATATTTTCAATAATAAATGTGTTTCGTGTCGTGTTCTGTAGTGCTGTATCCATGCAACATAGGTTATATGAGACATTTGGAATTGAAAGTAGTAATAAGACAATGGTTCATTCTTTTTTTAAGCCTTAAAAGTTTTCATATAATAATTTTAATAGAGTAAATGCTGAAGCACTACTATATAAAGTCATACAATAAATTGGAATGACTTCTTAGATGCTAGAACAAACTATTTTTGTGTTAGTCTAGTTGTAGTGTGTTTTATTTGACGCAATTTCATGAATTTTTAACTAAGGCCTTGGAATTCTTATTTCTTTTTGTCATCTTCTTTTGGATTACACATCTAATACACCATCTACACAATTCTTAGTCTTTCATGCTCATCTTATTTTTGAAATTATTAATGGTGATGAAATCTTGTTCATTATTGAAGTTGGATATCCAAGATGCCTTAGAAAATGGTAAGACAAGTCTATAGAAGATGTTTTCCATAGAAAACAAAATATCTCGAATTTTCAACTAAGGCCTTGGAATTCTAATCTCTTTTCATCATCTTCTTTTGGATTACACATCTAATACATTATCTACACAATTCTTTGTCTTCCATGCTAATCTTATTGTTTAAATTATTAATGGTGATGAAATCATGTTCATTATTGAAGTTGGATATCCAAGATGCATTTAAATGGAAAGACAAATCTGTAGAAGATGTTTGTCTTAGAGAACAAAATGTCATGAATTTTAAACTTATGCCTTGGAATTCTAATCTCTTTTCATCATCTCCTTCTGGATTACAATTCTAATACATCAGCTACACATTTCTTAGTCCTCCATACTAATCTTATTTCTTAAATTATTAATGGCGATGTTCATTATTGAAGTTGAATATCCAAGATGCCTTAGAAATGGAAAGACAAATCTATAGAAGATGTTTGATGGATTTCTTTGTCAAAATATGCTTGACAAAAGTATCAACTAAATTTTGTTAGAGCTGAATTTTTTCAATCCAAGTAAAATTGATGCTAGTTTCTCTTTTTGTTTATTTTATGACCCCTTGATTCGTCAATTCTTGTGATTATCTACTTTCTCGACGTCTATTGTCGCTTGCAACACTGCGGCTCCTTTCCACTTTTTGTTGCAATCATATGTGGGACTTGCAGCTCCTTGTGCTTTCAGTTACGGTTGATCACTAGAATTACTACCTTTTGTTCCAATTGGGACTTGCTGTCTTTGTGACAGGTGTTCTTTGACTTCCTATACCATTGATATTTTTTTGTTTCTTCTGATGGTTGATGCATGTCTTTCATATGGGTCTTTGATAAAAGGAAAGGAATTCCTATTGATTTTGTTAAAAATAACTAAAGGACTCGTGATTTTCAACACATTTTCAATTGTTATGAATAAAATTTAGTTGGATGTGCTATGCTTTCAGGAGTCAACTCCTTAATTGAGTGAGGTAGTTGAAAATTTTTTGGAAGAGATTATCTCTTGTTATGGGTGTGAGACTTCATTTCAGTAACTTTTTCCTTTTAATTACAACAACAACAACAAAGCCTTAATCTCAAAGCCTTAATCTCCCTTAATCTCACTACGTGGGGTCGACTACATGTATCCTTTTTCTCCATTGCGTCCTATTTAGTGTCATATTTTTATTTAGTTCTAATAAATTAAGATCATTTTTTATACAGTAAGCCCAAGTATTCCTAGGTCTACCTGTGCCTTTCTTAGCATAAGTCGAATCTAAAACATCTACTCTCCTAATCAGGTAATCAGATGGTCGACGCTTAATGTGACCAAACCATCTAAGACGACTTTCTCTAATTTTGTCCGTCACAGGAGCTACACCAACCCTACAAGGATACAATCATTTCACATTTTATCTTTATGTGTAAAGCCACTCATCCACCTAATCATTCTCATCTTGACAACACTTAACTTAGTATTATGCTTCTCTTTTAAAGGCCAACATTCAGCGCCATAGAGCATTCCAGGTCTCACCACTGTTTAATAAAATTTTCGTTTCAGTCTAAGCAGTACTTTTCTATCACACAGAAGGCCCGAAACATTCCTCAACTTCAACCAACCAATTTGAATTCTACTATTAACATCCCCATCTATATCACCATCGCTTTCAACAACAGACCCGAGTTATCTAAATCGTTCACAACTTTTAATAATTTGTTACACTTTTGTCACTAGAGCTACTGCTACTAAAATTACATTCCATGTATTCAGTTTTAGTTCTACTCAAATGAAGGCCTTTCGACTCCAATGTAGACCTCCATCATTCAAGTTTTTCTTGGGT